ATGTTAGTGCTGCTGCTGAGACCAGTGTTCCACATGCTTCCATCGCCAGTGCTGCCGCCATAACGACCGTCGCCACCGCTACCACCAGTACCACGATAATGATTAATACTACTGCTGCTACTACTTCCATTGTTACAAGTGCTGCCACCATCACCTCTAATGCCCCTTCGCCACCTCCGGCTCCGTATTCTCCTATGACCCATCCCGCAGTTGATTCCTCTGCTCCTCCCCAACAGGTGCAGTTCTATTCTGGAGCAGGTAATAGCGCGTGCCATCAGACCTACCATCCAACCTCCAGTGGATCGCAGCAGCAGATGGCTGTGCCACCACGGCGATTCGCCAGTAGCTCGCGCAGATCTGGCAACAGCGATGGAGGAAGCAGCGGCAAGTACTCGAAGAACGTGGTGAACAGTGTGCAGGTTCTGGCTGCAGGTGCCAGCAAGGTGATGGGTAATGTTGATGAGGGTGCAGTGGGGGGAGCAGGAGATGCACCAACCAGGTTGCCACTCCCCAATTGTGTGGTGATGCAGGAAGCATGCCACCAGGTGCAGGCATTAAGTCTCTAAACTGTACACTACTTTTAGTTAATTTATTTGTACTTTTAGTATTTAATCACTACCTATAATATATAATTTGTTTTCTTGTAATAATTTATAAATATTCACTCAAGTAGAAAATCTGTAAAGGAGGTTTGTAAAACTTACCATGTAACATGTTTGTTTCTAAAATTTCTTGGAAAAAGGGGATATTACAGGAAAATCTGGGAAGCATTTCTGACTTGATGCTAGCGTGGCAGACAGGATGTGTGTCTGTCTGAACAGCTTTAATAAATTACTGTCTTCCTTCGTTACCTTTCGTCACGTGTTAAGATTAAGGTGACCGCTGGGGGGAGTTTTAGCCTGGCCTCAGAATGGTCAACCCTCATGGCAGCTGGCAAAGAGTGCATCACCTACTTAAATCCTCACCCCCTATTAATAAAAATCAACAATAATTACAGTAACGACAATGATGATAAAAAACTTATGTCTTGTAGCATGTAACTTTTTGAAAGTGAAGCCAACACAAAATTTTGTGTTGTAAATTTACACCGGTGAATATAAATAGCCATGTTTGATTATTTGATTAATGTGTTCAACATGTGGCAACAAAGTCTTTGTTTTGCATGGCTTGATTGGTGTTCGTTTTTGCATAGATGAGAAACATTGCTCGAGGGACCAGTCTCATGTGCGAAGTTTGCTTTGCTCAAGTATGATTGCCAAATAAATGAAGCTGTCTGTCATTTCATCCAATGTTGCAGTGCCAAGTTCCTACTGAGAATGCATGCTCACAGAGGAGAATTAAATAAAATGGTTCTCTTGAAAGACTGGACTAAATAAGGCAAAACTGAAGACAAGATTTTTATGACAGAAATTGCAACTTTACATGATTCTACTCAAACATATGTTCTCATCAAAAGGAGTTCTCAGGTTTTACGTAGCTAGTCACGCCATGTAATAGGAGCCATCTGCTTGTGGCACTTACAGAAAGACTAATGTGTGTATGAGTTACACCGGATGTGATCGGAGGTCTTTAGGAAGCCTTCCGATTTTATCTAGAGAGAGGCGCGATGCGTGGACATGCTTCACTTGCAAGTTTTGTCAGTAGATGGATCAAAACAGAAGGTTTTCTAGATAAAAAGTCAGATGATTTGCCTTTGGCATCGCTGGTGGACTGCAGTGTTCTCAGAACACATGTTACCCTTGTGCACATTTTTAATACAAAAAAGGCTGTGAGCTAAACAAACTGATAGAATATAGTGCTGCAAGAAGAAGCGTTAAGTGCCTTTTGTGTTTTGTTCGCTGCATTTACTTGTGGCTTCGAACGAAAGATTGACGGTGTGCGTGATTGCCGTGTGAAATTTTCCAACATAGTTTGCAGTTGTGTTTCCTTTTATTATTATAAGTTGGGCAGTTTTGAGCCGCTCGTGCATGATCTCTCTCTCCCCTCGCCCTTATAAAGTGTGATATCTTTAAGTATAGAGCTGCCATTGTATAAATTATATAAACAAAATACATATATAACATTAAAAATGTGAATGAAAAAAGAGTACAAACTTGTGCAATAACTCATAGAGCGTTGTACTCTGTATTTTTTTCCTACTGTTAAAGATGATACAGTAAATGATTTTTATTGAAATTCTTGTAGGTGCCCCTTCCACTTTGTGCTTGAAAAGTGGTAACATGTTATGAGGAGTCGGTCAATTTCTGTGATTGTTGCGAGGGGACACGGTGAACACCATAGTTGCAGTAATTTGTAACGTGCAAAATGTATGTAGAATTGTAGCAACAGTTTGTACTTGTTAAAAAACCAATAAAATGATAAATGTGTTGATGCGTTGCAGTTGGCTGGCCTGCGATTGATTGGACAAGTTTTGCAGAAGAGAGGGATTCTCGTAATTAAGAAAGTTTCTCTTTGTGTCAAGAAGTGCATACATTATTCTTAAATTGTAGAAATGTGCATGAAATGAATGCACACTGGGAAGGGCGTAAATGTTTAACCTTGGCATAAGTGTAAGTGAATGATTTGCTTCATGCCCTGACCGCTTTGTACCCGAGGAAATACGTCTTTGCCCATCGGACAGGAGGCAAGACCCCGTGAGCCAGTCTGGACATTGTGATAAGGAGAATCTGCCATTCTGCGAATTGAACCCCGGATATACAGCCTGTTGCCTAGCCACATAGAATCCTGAAGTTTTTTTGGTAACATATCAGCGAGCTGTTGAAATTGTTCAGAATTTAATTTCCAGCTTGTGTGTGGCTAGCCACGTTGCATTTTCTGCTATCCAATATGTTGCGCATTTGAACGAAGCGTTATGTGATGTATTTAACAGCCGTGAATCATTGGCTAATCCATGAAGGTATAAATTATGAGCTTTCTTGTTATGTAATTTTAATTGGCAGTTAATCAATTTACGCACCTCTAGGCAATACAAATGAGATGGGTTAACTTTCACTGGTTCGTGTTGCTAACGGTCGGGCATCTCAGAAATTTGAGTGCATCGGTGAGCTTGCCATACATCCAACTTGTTTATGGCTACTTCCATTACAATGTTTTGTACTGCTGCTTCATTTAATGCATTGTATGAAAAGTTATGTTTGTGTATTTTCGGTGTGTCGACACTCCCATTGATTCACTATAACCAGCCATATTCCTTTTTCTCAAAGCTTCAATTATGATTTATGAAATGTTTTTGCATAACTGGCTGTCAAGTTTGAAGGCGATGATGGCCCTATTAGGATTTTAAAAAAATGTGTCTGTTCAAATATCAACTGTGTTTAACCTATTGGAGCAGTTCATGTAAAAATTGTTTTTACTGATTAATAATTATTATTATGAACATGGTAGTGTGTAATAGACCTAATGAATAGAGGTGAGAAATACTTGCAACGTTTTAGCCAAACAGCCTGAAGGGAATGCTATTTGAAACACCAAGTGTAGGTGGTTGGATAATATTAATATTGATCATAAGGAAACGGTTGATGGTGTGGACACTGCCTGAGTATGTGAAGTGCCCAGCGAATTTTGAGAATTTCGTGCGAAATTATGGGTATGAAATATGCGCACGTAATGTAAAAGGCAACATTATCGCCATGTTCTCGTTCTATACAAGTTTAATTGAAGCTGCACATAAACTATGAAATGCGTTTGTATTGTTCCATAATTGTAATTATCCAAAATACGATATATGTTAGATGTAGTGCATTACAGTTACCAACTGTCCGGCTGTGTGGGCTTACTACGCGATGAAACTCTTTTGTTTTCGGAACTAAATTCTATTAAAGTGACTCATGTCTATGATAATATGGGAAAATTTAAACCAGGGGAGGCTATCGGTAAGTGACACAGATGTGTAAAGTGATACATTTGTGTTACATATTCCTGGAATTATTTTAAAGTTTGCGCCATTATGCTGTCATGTTGGTGCTGAACGACAGTGTAAGATGGCGTGTTGAAAGGGAGCGGGTTTCAAGCTGTTTTCGCGAAAGTATGTTTTCTGGTGTTTCTTTTGCAAATTTGTTGCAACAGTTTATCGGCATCATCAATCTAAAATTTGTGATCAAATTATTGTAACATATTTCCTTTGAAATCTGGAAGTAAGTCATAATTAATGCCAATTGCTTCGATCAGTGTTTCTTGTTCTCTTTAGATTATGGTTTGGAAAACAAGTGCAACCAACTTAGGTTTAAATGTGAGGTTAGTTTGAGAATTCTGTGTACAGACCAAAAACCCCAGAATATTTTGTTTTTTCCAGTCGATGTGGGTTTTGGCTTATGCTTTCAAAATTCATTATGAAGTTAACTTTTACTGCATTTTGAACTGAGATATTTGGACGTATTTTTACCTTGTAATTAATAGGAAGGTGTGTGTTTTTTGTTATCAACAAAGACGTGTTCATATTATATATTATAAATTTAAATATTTTTAATATTCTCTCGTCTCCGTCTTGGTCTTCCAAGGGGGAGCTATCCAATAGGTTATTCAAGTAAAGTACTGTACACCGTGTTTATTCTTTCTTAAAAGGCCTATGTCAAAGTATTTTTTATCTCGGAAATGAAAGGATAAAATCACCAAAATCGTCTTTCACTTTCCTCGTTCTCTTTTGGGCCCTAGTACTTTTCTTAGGCCTTTGTTTTAAAATATTTGGTCTCCGCCTTAGGATGAGACGATGTCGCTATTTACATCAATGATAAGTCGAATAAACAGAATTGTCCTTCCAACATATCTCGACTTCTTATCACATTGAGATATATTTTATTTTAGTAGTGGCGGTAAATCTCCAATAGGTGGCAGGCGCGTGGTGGTTGTCAGTCGGCGCTTCGATTCTCAGTTGCCAACTGGCAGTGATGGTGTGTACTTGTAGCCAGCGTGTGCGGTGACCGCGCTGTATTGTTGTGATTATTGTTTCGTTCTGTGCACCCAACAAGATGTCACGGGGATCCCACAGCCTGCAACACCATCGCAATGAGTTGGGATACCAGCATACTTTGGTAAGTGGTGTATTTATAGATGAACGCATGTGCGTAATTTTTAGATTTATAACCTCCCTTCTTCTGATATGATGTTCTTATTTGATCAGCGCAGGCCTGAGTTTAACAATAGTCGAAGCGAGTGTAATTACGTTTCTTCTTCGTTAAACTTCGACTAGGAATTCATACGTTTGCATTTTTTCCCGTTTGAAGATGGCTTTAACTTTAAAGACTTTGATAGCATCGACCTGCTTTTAAATCCACCTCTCATTTGGATGCATCAGCTGTTGGCAGGCGCGATGTGGAAATGAATTGGCTTGCTCAAGGACCTTCGCTGCATTAGGTCAAGGTTAAGCTGTTGCTTTATAGGGGCAAGAACCTCAGGTAATTGCTTTCCTTGTCTGGTAGGACCGTATAGCTGTTTCAATTTTATCTGTGCCTGATGATATGGGGTGACTGCGCGTTCTTAGAAGGTCGCATTGTCCATGCCACATGCAACTTCCTCCCTAGATAACATATGCGTGAATGTAAATATTTTATGAATATCTTCTCACGGCTTT